CAGGCTCAGTGTGAGCGGCCATCTGCTGAGGCCGACTGGGGTTCAAGGAGACAGAAGCAGAGATACAAAAAGCAGCTGTAAAAGGCGGCCCAATCCAGGAAACACACAGCCAGGCAGACGAGCTCTGAGTAGAAATATTTTATTTCCAAATTTATCCAAAAATGTAAATTTATAAAAATGAAGGTTCAGATCTTTCTAGGCTGAACCATTGAAGCTTCTCAAAAAAACAAAAACTTTTAAAAGCTCAAGCCTTACCTTCAGGTCTCTGTGAATGAGGTTGTTGTCATGAATGTATTTCACTCCAGTGACAATTTGCTTTGCAATAGGAAGACTTTCTGCTCCTCTCTGGGAGTCCTGTACCTCCTTCTCATTCATCTCTTTAATCCATTGTTTAAGAGTTGAGTTACAAAACTCCATCTTAATGAAGAGGTACTTTTCACATGTGATACTTGGGGGTTAAATGAGAAGAGGAAAATGTGATGTTACTGTTAGAAAATAAAAAAAAAAAATTAAACAAGGGGAGAAACAAAACATACTCTTTAAGTTTCCTTTGGATGATTTCCGGCAGCTTTTTGGAATCCTCAATCCAGCAGTGGTAGTATCTAACAATGTTCTCATGGTGGAGGTCTGATAATGCCTTCACTTCTCGAAAAGCTTTTCTAAATGAAAATAACAATACAAATAAAACCAGACTCACCGTTACCAATATTTCTGTATTTGTGCCCAGAGTAACAGTTCCTACTTACTCTGAATATGAGACGGCCTTTACAGCATAATGTCTGTCCACCAGTTTCTCCTTTGCCTTGAAAACAGCACCATAACCTCCTTTACCAAGGAAAGTAGGGGTTTCAAACTCTGATGTGACTCTGTAGACATTGAGCAACTAACTTAGAAACAGAGAAATGCATTGAACCTGAATATTAATAAAGAAAATGTTCAACTTTACCTTGACTCTACTGGTGGGGTACTTGCATTTTCAGTTTTATGGTTTTCCACATCATTCTAAAAAACATTTAAAACACTTTGAAGCACTCTGTTAATTTCAAATATAAAAACTATATATATATATATATCGCCAGGTGTGTATGTATATATATATATATATCTCGCCAAGTGTGTATGTATATATATATAT